CCCCCCCCCCCCATGAAAAATTCCTGATTGCGCTACTGGCACATACCTAGTGCATTTGGATACGTCTCCGATGTGAAGCACACATGCCCATCGTTGGATATTTGCTATCTTCAAATTTGTAATTCAATCAGTTTAAATACCACCAATTGTTTTAAAACGAGTATTTGGAATCATTTCATAGTTTTTGTCTACATTAACATTAAATGATCATTAAGCTTAATTAAAAGATGTTCGTTCTAAATGGCAAAATTTTTGTTTTTGCCATTCAACAGTTTACAGCCAGCAACGTGTTTTGCCAAATACAAAGGAATGTATAATCAAGTTCATCAATGATTTTAACTATTGTCTGAAAACACGTGCAGTGATATCGTGCCGATCTATTGCAGTTGACCTGGCAATAACGCAATTTTAATTTCATCCCATTTTGGATTACACGTAAATGTAATGAACAAATCTAGTCGTCCGTACGCGCACACAAAAGTTATGGCGTTTTGAATATACTCGTATTCTTGCATATGACGTGGGCTACCAATATATGATGATGGAAGAATATATGAAATACTGATATTGTTGATGTTAGTTATTCCATCTACATTACCAACAATAGCATCACGCAAATGAATGATTTATCAGCTCGATGTTTCGCTTGATTATATAAAAAAAAATGATTTGGCCCAGTCTTGGTCTCAAAGCCAGGGGCGGAGTGGCTTATCTGGATATCTGGAATTTTCCAGATGGGCCGGTACTGACAGGGAATTTTATGGGCCGGAATCCAACAAAAATTAAAAATTAAAAAAAAATTTTTAAACAACAATATAAGTATAATTGGCGATCAATTGTTCAATATTTCAAATAATATTTAATGATCATTATTACAAATAAAACTTCTTGTTATAATCTTAAAGTACGTGATGTTATTGTATTAATTTATTAGTATGATGATTTATAAATACTAATAAATTAACATCAGAGTATTAGATAAATAGATATCATGAAAACATGAAAATAAAATATTAAATGTCAATAATTATTATTTTCATGTGGGGTATTTCCACTTTTTCGTACGCTCGAATAGCGAGTGTTCGATTTACGCTTGTTTTTATCTATCGCGTCAGTTTTAAATTCTAACTATAGAAATGAATCGTATATTCTTAAGTTGTAAATATGTACTTACATTATAAGAATATCAGTTGTCACGATAAACGATTAGTTAAAAACGTTGTAATACCACAATTCTTATATCATTACAAGCGCTGATTTCCATAATATCCATTGTTACTTTTTAATTTTTTTCTTTACATGATGACGCACAACAAGTTACCTATTTCTACAATTTATTTTTCTATCATGAATAATTCACATACGACGAAAAAAGAAAAGGAGGCGCAGAAAAATAACGCAATAAAAAAAAAAATTACATTTCAAGTCTGCTCAAAATTGTACATTGATTAATTCATTATTTCATGCAGCCGGTAAGTAGTTAATGTTTTTCTATTGGATAATTAAAATAAAAATAAATAAATAAGTAATTGTTATATATTGTAATAAGTAAATTATTGTTTGTTATTTAAAATAATTATTAAAAATTGTACAATACTCATATAAAATTTGTTTTTATTTAAAACAGACCAAGCTGCAGAAAATAATACAGCAGAATCAAATCAAACATCTCTTAAAATCAATGGCGGTGCGTCAGGGGAAACTTTGAGACGGCGTCTCCCTAATAATTATAACATCGGAAAAAAAAATTGTTTTAATTTTTTTAAATTATTTTCAAGTATTTGTGTAATCTATATGTAAATAATATACTGTTGTAAACTATATTTATTATATATATATATGCACGTGTGTATTATATTATGTCCATCGTGGTGTAAATACGTATGATTTAATGAAAATACGTTCTTAGCTAGTTTCGAATTCAGCGATAATGACGGACGACGGCATCGTAAAACGAATGACGGTCGAATGACAGCCTCAATTCTAATAGATAGGAGGTAAATAAAAATTCGGGGGAATCCATTTTCGATATTGATTACTGTACGAAGTCCGGGAGAATAGTCTCTGACACGTTATTCTTTGCGTATATTTGTGTAGTGGGTTATCTTGTACATTAAAACTTGTAGCGATTTTAATTTAATATTGAAATAATGGAATTAAAACATTGTATATTAGATGAATTATTAAACAATGATTTTCATTTATTTACATATGATGAAAAATGTAAATTAAAAAACAAAAAGCTGACTCCATATTTATTGATTGAATATAAAGACGGAACATTTACCCGTACATTTCAAAGTAGTTGGTATGATAAATGTACGTGGTTTAGTGGTTGTAATTAACGCAACAAACTTTTTTTGTTTCATTTGTGTATTTTTTCGAGGTGGAAAAGAATGGAGTTTTGATGGAATATCAACTATAAAAAATATAGGTAACAAGAAAAGCAGAAAAACATGCTATTTCGAAAACATACTTGAAAAATCAAAAACAATTTCATCTATTGGGAAAAATTCGTATTGAACATGCCATTTCAGATTAATATAAATATTAATCATATTAATATTTATATTCATTTGTTTGTTATTTTATCTGTTTTAATTTATATCTTTGAAATCTATATCTATAAAATAAATATTAATTAATTAAAGTTTGAATTGAATTTTATATACTTAATATATATATAAACCTATCACAATATTGTATACAAGAAATTACGAACGATCAATTTTTCAGTATCTAGTTTAAATTAAAAACTTAGAATAAAGTAGAATATAATTATATAAATATAATTTGCTATCAAAAATTTAATAATAACCAATAATTACACAAAAATTAAGTCTCCCCGTAAATTTTATTCACGTACCGCTATTGCTTAAAACTGATACGGAACTGCCTACTGATTCATACACAATACTTGAAAGTAAATTCTTATTTAAAATAATTAATAAAAATTAAAAATTATCCAGTACTCATGTCAATTTTGTTTTTATTTAAAATATATCAAGCTGTAGGCAATAATAATACAGTAGAATCAAATCAAGAAGCTCCTGATGATACTATTTTGAATGTTGAAAAAAGTTTATTGTTGATGTATATAACAGAGTGTTTGATACAATTATAATAAATATGGAAAACCGATTTACAAATAATAAAGAAATACTTGTTGATTTAATATTATTATCACCTATTAATTTTGATTAATTTGTGAATAGATTACCCAAAAATGCTTTCACTAAATTAGCTGCAAAATTAAAACCATATTTGGACAAAGACAATGAAAATGAAATAAAAAATAAACTATCTCAAGAAATTTTAAGTTTTTCAAAATCTTGGAAATATTTAAGAAAATCTGTAGATGACGAATATATCGAAGAACTGTACTTGCACTTAAACAGTGACACAGAAAATTAAAATTAAGAAAAAGACATATCAAAATCATGTAAATCATGTAAAAAGTGTAGCATTTGTTGTTACACTGCATTGGTAAAGTACAATCATTATTCTAATGTTTACCCGACTTTATCCATTGCTTATCAGTACTTTACTGGTAACCCAAATGATCTGTGAAAGGTCATTTTCTACTTTAAAATATGTAAAAAACCGTTAAGAAATTCAATGACAAATGAACATTTGGAGTCATTCATGTTGATGGCCATTGAAAAAAAAATGTTCTGTAATTTAGATAATAATATGATAATAAATAAAGTTTGTGAAAATCTAAAAAATTTTCTAAATTACTCTTATAAGTTATATTTATTGAAGTATACTAATTTATGACATAAGTATTATATGTTTTTATATATAAATATAAAATTAAAATATTAAAATAAAAAATGTATTTGGGAATTTTATGAACTATTTGATAAATCAAAGTTTAATTTTTTTCAAATTTATGTCTACACGATAGCCCCTGAAGCAATCAGCTGACGAACTAATGGGCTGATAAAATTTATTTTCCAGACCCGAAATTAAGTCCCACTCCGCCCCTGTTCAAAGCATTAGCTTGAGGGCGTTTGTTGCGTTGCTCTTGACTTTCATTAGCACGTGTGATTGCAGCCTGTAACCTAACCTGGTTTCTTACATTTTCATTGTCCGTCAATTGATCTTCTGTCGATCTATTTAACCGACGGTTCTGGACTAATTGTGAATTCAAAGTCCGTCGATTAATATTTCCTCTTCATCTCCGAAGACGTGGCATTGTTTTGTGTACATAACTTAAATTTGAATATAATACGCTCAATATTTACGTAAATGCGATACATATAATATTAAAACACAGTACATAAAAAAAATTAAATTAATAATTTATTAAAAAATAATGCAGTGGCATTAATGCATTATTTTTAATATATATATATATATATGTATAATAAGTAACGCATTTGCAATTCAAGTGCGAGAATCATAGGTTGCCAAATTTTATACAAAAAAGTTTTAGAACGAATATTCATATTATCAAATTATTAATTAATTCAAGATGTATTAGAAATAAAATAAAAAGCTTAAGGTGCTATAATCATAACAAATAAATTCGTAAGTTTTATGCTAATTATATTTATATAATTTATCACAATAACTATAATAATA